ATAATATTATGTATGTGGTTTTGTAGAACAGGTTTATTTGGCGTGTACTTTTTTCATCATGCATACCTCTGGGTGGCATTGCGGTTTCAAATATTAAGAGCAATTTATGGGCGCCATCTCAGTGGCAATTTATAGACGACATCTCAGTGGTAATTTCTAGGCGCTATCTTAGTGGCAATTTCTAGAAGACCATTCAGTCACAATGTCTAGGCGGCATCCCAGTGGCAATTTATAGACGACCATATCAGTGGTAATTTCTAGGCGGCATACATGTGGCAACTCATAGGCGGCATCTCAGTGGCAATTTATAGGCGGTATACCAGTGGCAATTTCTAGGCGCCATCTCAGTGGCAATTTCTAGGCGCCATCTCAGTGGCAATTTCTATGCGCCATAGCAGTGGCAATTTATAGACGATCATCTCAGTGACAATTTCTAGACGACCATCTCAGTGGCAATTTACAGGCGGCATCCCAGTGTCAATTTCTAGGCGCGATATCAGTGGTAATTTCTAGATGACCATCCCAGTGGTAATTTATAGGCTGTATCAGTGGCAATTTCTATGCGCCATCTCAGTGGCAATTTCTAGGCAGCATATCAGTGGCATTTTCTAGACGACCTTCTCAGTGACAATTTCTAGGTGGCATCTCAGTGGCAATTTATAGGTGGTCATTTTTAGGTGGCATAAATGCGGCAATTTTTTCATGCAGTCTCTCTCAAGACATCTCAAGACAACTACAAATATTAATGTGCTATAACAAAATAATTGTTTATCTGAAATTAGAGAGTGATGAAGGTCTTTTTCCATACTTTGGAAAATGGAAACAATTGTATATTATAGTGATATTGTCTTGCGCATTGCCTAAATACGGAGCAGTGTACAAAGGAATCGCATTCAACTACACATTTATTCAACTTTTATATAAACACATGTACAATCGACTCATGAAAGACTTGCCGTTGTTCCAGACAATGTCTACTGTGACGTCAGAATAATTTATTGCGGGTATAACATACCATTCATTGTTTGTTATGCGTGTTTAACAAAAGTATCCGCTTTCATGTCGCGTGTGATATACAAGGTTGTGTGTGACAGGAGTATGAAAAATTAATGAGTTGAATAATAATAACTGGTACCATGACTCAACAAACAGTGTAGTGGAATTTTGAAAAAAAAATATTCATGTGCAATAAAAACATACTACATGCAATGACATGATACAAAATAACCAATGTAAAACACGATTGTATACAATTTAAATGACAGAATTACTCGTTGTCGCTTTTAAAAGTGCAATACAATTTGGTATAACAGTGAATTAAAATAGCGTATATGCTTGTTTCACACCACTTTATATAGCAATGATCACCCCTGGTAGAGACGACTTGAAAATTTTAGAAGGGCTTGCGAGACATGTGGCAACATGTCCGTAAAGTTGCAGGTATTGGTAAATTTATAGACAGAAATTATTTCAAATAAAAATATCAAATTGAGAATATACGCTAACATATGTCGGCATATGTGACGTCCACAATGACAAACGAACATTACATATATAATTCATACGCAAAAGTAATCGTAAAAAATAGAATATCTCAGCAATGAAAACTTTCAATTCGTTTATTCATATTTTCAGAGGGAAAAAACAAAAGAAACCAAGGTAGTGTTTCTTGTTTATTAATGCATTCATAATAACATTGTTGTCTTTACATAGTATGAAGGATATTTATTACGTCTGACTACCACAAGAGTTGTAATGCGCATGCTCACACACACGTTTTCAGCACGTCAATAATGTAACTGGTGTATTGGGTATCTCCTTCTCACTAATGTATAATTGTAGGAACAAATATGGTTTTATTAAGTTATCCTGAAGAGATTATTATCCCCACGAGTCATTGCGGTGTCAGTCACGTTGCATTGTTTTATTGTATTGTGTTATATATTGTTACTAGTTGCACTACTTTATTTGAGCATGACGATGATTTTTGTTTGCATATTGTTCATTCCCCTTGAAAAAATAACAAAATTCAACTGATACTAAAAATTGTATTGAAAATTAATTTTGAGATTAGATAACATGATGGTGATACACGCGATAACATACCGTTAGAAGGGGTATGTATTGCCTTATTTTTAATTAGTCAAATTTTATTTTACGATATACGAGTCATTTTGTATTTCACGTTTTCCTTTGTATTAATTTTACGTACACAAGGCCGTCATATGTACACGCAATGTATTAACCGAAATGGCTATCATATGTGTTAATTTATTTATTCCAAGGATGACGTGTTTTTGATTCCTGTTACAGAACGGAGATAACACATGTAATGTGCGTGGTTGTTGTCTGCTCGTACACATTTCGACGGTTAGGCTGTATAATCCGTCAATTACGTCTAACATAGACTAAGCTCGTCAGTTTATATCGATCAAAGATAGCGTCGCTCAAAGTCATTTCACTGGATCATTCATGAAGTCTATGTGCGTTTGTACCATCTTGTTTCAGTCAATACTTTGCCAGCCAAAATACCCTGGAAAGTAAAGTTTTAAGATGACATGATGTTGACCTTTGCACCGGCGTTACTATTATATTAAAGCATGGAGCCAATGTTTACACGCTGTTTACTTCCCCCTATTATATATAAATATCTACACAAGTTCAAAAAATTGTGATACATGCAATAACATGCCCCGAAAATATAAGTATGTTAATTTATCAGCGTGTTAAAACCTTATATATGTAATTTTAAATCAAAAGACGTTCCAGGTTAATAAATACGGGCCAGGCTTTAAACCATCACTGTGAAAACATCGAACATATTTACCAGATTATTATTTCTAATATATTCATTAAGAACATAATTTTGCGCAATGTATACTATTGTGGTTAATGCCGTTATTGTTTTTAGTTAGGGATATAATGTACATTGCATTGACGAACGTTAGCATATAAAGAATCGTATGCGTAAGATCGACTTTCAAGGCTTCCTGGGATACTCAAATTGAGAGTATTGTATTGAACTAGTTCTCATAACAATCACGTCATTGCATTGTTTTATTTTCAAACATGCCCCATTTTCTCATTTCTTTTGACTGATAACTGAGTTTAATATTTGAGTGCAAAACAAGTCAATTTTTAGACTTTTGTTTCACAATTGATGTTTGATCATAATTGATAGTCCTGAGTGTAATGGTAGTATATTGCTGAAATATACGTTGTCTTGTGTACTGTATGTTTCATCCAAATTAAATGCATCTTCTGAAATTATGCACGACAGATAATGGATTTATACAAATTAGATTGTGCGATTACTTTTCTCTTACAAATACGGCGTATAAATCAGCAATTACCAAAACAACAGTTTAAATAAAGCAACTGTCAACATATTACACATATTGAGGGCGGTTTTCAAATAATTTGCTTGTCTTATTTAAATGGCAGACAACATGAAACTCATAGTAACCGTGCAGTTTAATTGATCTATTTTGTCACCAGTTCGCTATTACGATAACATACATTTCACCCACGTGTATTTCGCCCAATACTCCAAAGAACTTTTTTACTGGGACAGTAATGTATATATAATTTTGTGACATGTGGTTAACATAATGAGGTGCGAGATAAAACGTTTGTTCTTTTTACACCATTTGAACCTCCTTGTTGTATTCGAGGATAGTTCGAAACATGAACTTAAGTTTTCATCAATTTTTAAAAACTTTTTAAACACCATTACTGTTGACACTGTTTTGTGTAAAAACTCCAACAACTTGTAGACAATTTTCTGACTGTATAGGTATATATAGCACGAAACTATGTAGTGACAAAAACATGGGTCAAACCAACATCAACAGGTCACGTTAATACTTCACACGTTGAATAGTGGAAATAGCATACCAAACCGTAGATCTTTCAACAAAAGTCGTATAGTCCAAATATACAAATGAACGTTTGACATTATCAATTGAAGATGCATTAGTCTATTAAGTATCACATATATTCATATATATTGCCGTATGGAAAATGGTAATTATGTATTGACGCTGTATTACATATGGGTATATAGACCTTGCAATGTGCCTTTACAGTTGGACAAACTGTTGTATTTTTTTTTTATAAAAAGTGCTTAGAAAGTTAATCTTCTCTAGTTAAAACAAAGTTGGGGAAGAGAGGACGCGGGAGATAAAATAGCCCATATATAATAATTTCAACATCAAATACAATTGTTCTCAGACAAATATTCACCAGTGCCCGTTTTCTCCACATTTACTGAGTAGAATCCGAATGAGATTTGTTATAAAAAATAACTATTTACTGGCCTTATTCGGGCAACAGTATTCGCCAATTTCCCAAGGACTGTGAGTCACCCATAATATATGGGTTTTTTATCCACCTGGGGAAAGTTCAATTAACACGGCTAACTCACAGAACCTCACAGAGTAGTTGCGTACTAATGCCCACACACATGGGCGGATTTAGAGGGGGCCGACAACCAACAGGGCTTCGCGAACCTGGCCTTCGGCCAACTTATCCCCCCCCCCCTATTCCAGAATCCTAGATCCGCCCCTGACACAGGTATGAAATGTTGTTGCCCGGTGAGCAAACCATCACACGGTGATAGATTAGACGCGTGTTAATATGCATTGCAGATAGCAGAGCTCGGCTAACACTTAACATTTTACGTTCTTCTTGAAATTTCGATGAAGGATAATCAGCAGGCAGCCATTTTGTTTCAATGTTCAAATGTTCGGCACGCTTGATACATTTTCCGGTAAAAATGCAAGATTATTGTGTTCCATGTGCATTCGGAATTTTTTGTTGATTTATTTTTATCAATTCAGTAAAATATAGATTATATCATTGAAAAATTATTTGTTCAATCCTCAGAATAATTAGGTTTTGTATTTATAAAGAGTCTAGTGTGAAACATAGGTATAAATTAAAAAAAAATATATTTTACATTCTGTTCTCATAATGAACTACTGAGCAGCACAATTTCGTCATCTTAACAATGAACTTTTATTTGATACCTTTGAAAACCCAACGAACCTACAAGGGGATATTTCTTGTCACGTGTTACAGAAAGCTACAAATGAAATATAGTCTGTACATTAACAGATTAAATAGGTAATATTAGACAGAAAATAAGTATTGAATAGTAAGGGATACTATAGATTCAGTAGTTAAAAATTTATTAAAAACGAATGGAGATGTCGTAGGATTTGAGTGTATGTTTCAGGCCATTTAACACCAACCAGGCGACCAGACATCATTAAAATTCGCGGCGGAACCGGCTAGCTCTGTTGTTTGGTTTACTGGTGGATGTAGCAATTTACGATGTTCATCCAATCGATCACGTAAATCTTGTACTATATCTTGATTGTCAGCGGAGATGTCGTGTCGTTCTTCTGGGTCATCTGCATTGAAAGAGAGACATTAGTAGTTATTCATATGACACCTCTTCAATGTTCGTTTTTCATGAGTGGAAATAACAAAATAACATGTCAAACAGCGTGGAGGCCACTAATGCCACTGGTGTTAACCTGAAAATAATCTCAAATGAGCATGCAGTAAGATAGGAGTAGCATTTCACGATTTTGCACAATTTACACGTTTTTGTATTGAATGAATAAAATACTCACTTTGGAAGTGGCAGTATATACACATTGAAAACATGTTTAGAAGCGTCGTTTGTGAGTGGCGATCAATGCGCGCGTCTGCATCGAGGGACTATACGCTTCGAATTAGTGGCTGTGCTTGTTTGTATGTTCATAATTTGCCTAATCATTCTGTCTTCATTCTCCAAAAACAAAACATCATTCTTACCTACGATATTGAACAAGTATTCTACGTTCTGTGGAGCCGGTGCGTTTGCTTCTTGATCTGTAGTTGGCAATCCGCTTGCTGGGGGGTCACCGTAGTTGTAATAGTTATCTGAAATAAATATACATTGACATGTGTCAGATCGTGTAATCATAATGAGACATGGTGAATGCAAATCCACTGTATTCACTATCCCCTCTACATCCATATACAATAAGCTTTCAGTAATTTGGTTGATAAAATTTCAACCGAGAATTCTTTGGGTGCATATATGTTTACCTGTTAAACGGATATCCCGATATGGATACAATAAATCCGGATGTCCTGTAATCAGTTTATAGTCTCCGATCCTTAAAACATACAAAAGATAATTCATGATGAGTATGTATGCATATATGTTATATTCCACCATAGGTTCGTGATATATAGAATAGAACATTGTTTTGCAGAACACACTCGTTTTCATTTGCTGGATCATTTATTCAGTTACTACTATTCTAAATATTAATACAAACTAATTTTTCAATTCTTGTTCACAAACCAGAAATAAAAACAGCTTTTTACCCAACTAACCCCTCATACACATATAAATATATCATTGCTTACCTGATAGCAGCACCAGGGGACACTGGATCATCATCGATATTATAGATAATTTCATTTCTTGGCGATGGTTCATCTTCTGACCATGTAGGCCACATACTTAAACCGTCAAGTTCAGGCTCTATCAAATACAATTTAACAAATTATAGTAATTCGTTGTAAATGTCAAAACGCCTATTATCTGACCTTATATGGCGAAACATAAAAGTTGACAAAATACTTGTATTAACTCACCAGCTTTTGCCCCAGCCACATCAAGGATTGTTCTGTGTATATCGACTATGCTGTATAACCTATGAACCAAGTGGAAATTAACTTAATTAAAGGTTCAAAACAACAATGCGGAAAGTCTTATACATGAATAATCGGATAGAGTAATGACTTCTCAACAGAATCAGATTATATGTTTATATAGTTTACATTTTGTCAATGACACCAACTAAGACATTAAAATTAGGTGTGAGCACGGTTGTGAAATTGTCAATCACTCAACTTACTCATTGCTTTTATATCCAGTCTTCTCTATTCCTTTCCCACTGACAATAGATGGTACGCGAGTAGCGCCCTCAAACAGCGTTCCAGCAATACCGCGGAATGGATAGTTGGACCCAGCTTGAGATGATAACGCTCCATTCTGTGTAAATAAATATAAACACTAACTGGTAGCATAGTGGTTGTCGCATCAGACTCATGATCGGTAGACCCAAGTTCAAATCCTACCTTAGGCTGAACATCAAAGGGTCGACTCCTACCAAGGGTGAGTGTGCCACAGACTCAATGGCAAGGCCAATTCCACTGGCCGACGATTCATTCACTAACGAATGCGACTTTGGGGGAACCTTGGTTAAATTGCCATTTGACAGAGAGATGGCCACACAGCCCTGTTATGTAGTCCCAAACATTAATATGACTTATGTGGCAAAATGGCACTAGCACTTGCAATTTGCACATACAGAAAAAAGGTCAGGAGAGACAACAGTTACACTAAATGTCCGGAACTGTCGCCTGCCACAAAAAATATTTTTTAAAAATAAATAAAAATAAACAACGGTTCAAAATTCAGATCAATAAATATAAACAGGCCGATGCTTTCTTTAAACTTTATTCAAGAGAGAGAGGTTAACTACTCATGTGAATGTGTATTCGTATATGAACTCAACTACAGAAAGTCATAAAGTGAGTAAAACATCAACACGTTTACAATGATTAAACAAATTAACTAAAAATATCACACATTAGACACTTACGTCTCCTATGAATATGAATAGCGAATCGTCATACATGTCACGGTCTTTCAACGCATCCACTACACCGCCAATTATATCGTCCATCATAGTCAACTTTCCTGTAATAGTAAAAATACTAAAATGTTTTTCTTTTCATTTTCAAATTTGGCAATCATATATTACAACTGAAAGGATTGGAAGGAATGCCATATGATGCCTTGTCGTGTCATTTATCATCGTACTAATGACCAAGAATGCCCTGTGATAATTGTTTTGATTTTTACTTGAATGACGTGTGGTGTCCCAAGCCAGGTATTAATATCCTTAGATACAACTATATTCATATGGAATTGCTTCACATACCATAAAATTGCCTAGTTCTATCATCTTCGATATCTGCATATAGTTCTTCATACTCTTCTGGAATCTGAAGAATGTCACACACATATAAATGTATACACGTAACAAATAAAAACATGTACACATATAATAAGAAACTGACATCATATGCATGTTTTGATTATCTCCTTTAAAGGAGTTCCTTCTAGTAGACTAAATTTATCTTTATTGTACTATTGTTGTTAATTTACTGTAACCAACAGAATAAGATATTTACCTCCAGATGCTTAGCAGGGATGTCCAGCGTAAACACAAGGAACAGTGGAGTTTCTGGGGAATGATTATTTACTATTTCCTCTGCTCTATCACCAAGCATTAACTGTAGAAAGAAAGATATGATATGATATGATATAATTTGACAATATATTATTTCTTTGTTTTTCACCAGAATCTTGAATGCATGGCATCAATCTTTACTACAATTTTAATAAACAGTATAAATAAGATGTTGATCAATGAGTGTATACTGAGACTCTATCTCAAATACCAAATGACAAAGACATTAAATTATGACGATAATAATACATATACTCACTGCAAGATAACCGTCACTTTTTGGTACCACTTCCAAGTTGTCACGGAAGTCATATCCTGCCGAAGGAGCTGGAAAGACAAATCAAGATGGGTGAATTGGACAAGTCAAATATCCATCTCAATTGACCCGCTCACAACAATTTGTTATCATATCTGTGGCATAATACCATTACTGTAACATTCGTAGTCACATATAATTTGGGACTACAGGGTGTACAATGGAACTCTATTGTAAGGATGCATTATGAACAATATCTCAGACGTAAAGTTAAACATCCGAATATGCGCAGAACTTTCTTTTAGTATTATTTAATACTGAACTGAAATACTTGAAAAATAACAAAACTTATTAGTAAATTTGTAGAACATTTGTGACAAAGACTATAAATCCGACATAACAATCTCTTTTCTGGCATGTTTGTAACACATAGTTGAAGTGAACAAAACAATGTACTTAGACAAAATACTGTTTTGTCAATAGTTAACTTACATAGTACTCCGTTCAATTTATCGTAGTCACCGACGCCCAATGTCCATAGACCATAGTGTGAGTCAAAACCACGATTTGTTGGTAGATACTCATCTTTACAGAACCCTAAATGCCATCTAAAAACAAATTTGGAAAACATTTAGAAATAAGAAATATATAATAGAAATATTTAGAAATATTCTTGATATATATTATATTATGATTATATGTTATTTACAGTATTTCATTGCATGCTACTGATATCCTAAAGCATCACATCGCATTTAGGTTTGTTTCTGAAATCCACAAAACAAGGTGTGCTAAAATTGTATGAGTAAAGTAAGATAATTACTTAATGTCAAATGTTTGTTTTAGAGTTATGGTTTGCTGTCTTTTTTTGAAAACACAAATATCATCAGATTGTAATAAACACGTTCAATTTGTCTACTTACTTTCCAACCATATGAGTAGCGTATCCAACTTCTTTAAGTTTTTCTGGTAATAGTTTGAAATTCAATGGAACCCCACTAGGATGAAGGTTGAACACCATTTGATGCTGTAAATAAATATAAATATAAATACAATCTATATAATAAATTTAATTATTGAGAATTAAGACAACATTGGGAAGTGGCATTTATCAATATATTGGTCAAACGTATTTAGTAACGTAATTTGCAAGTAAATCTGAATTGAAAGCAAGATAAATTGTGTTCAAATATAAAAACAAATTCTTACTTGATTTCCTGTTTTGAAAGGATACAATCCCGTCATCATAGCAGCTCTTGATCTAAAGAATTACATATATATATATATATAGTATAGTAATTAAGATGTATATTGCATATACACAGGATAGAGACACTTTTTGTCGTGATGCTGTACCAGCGCAAAAGTTATGATTGACGCAAGACACTAAAATTCAACTTTAACCTATATGCTATCATGTAATTACACATATTGGTATTACACTTGAATGAACAATTTTAACTACATTCCATTCACAATAACGATATTATCACTTACGGTGTACATGTGGGATGGGTGTAAGACTGTTCGAATATGACGCCATCGTCGGCGAGATCCATCAAGTTGGGCATTGCAATATCAGGGTTGTGCCAATGTACGTCATTCCATCCCATGTCATCCACAAATATTAGAATAACATGCGGTTGATCTGATAAAAATAAATGAATAGATCTAAATGTATAGCATTACAACGCAGTACAACTAGTATGTTGTGTGCATAATATGTGGTATTGAATGTTTTAACAAACGAATGTTTGTGTGCATAATTTATGACATTCTCTCTGTAACCTCATATGCTTGTGGACGTTGAATCGTGGACCATGTTGGTAAGTATAGATTGTGACTGTGTGCCACACGATACAAATTCAAAAAATAATACATACAAAATCAGCTAACCATCAACCGAAGAACATTCAATACTTAAGCAATAAGACCTTATCGACACGATGGTGACCTGTCACGAAAGACGACAATTCTAAAAACAGCCAATCAACGCGGTAATTACATACAACTACAAATCTAACAAACGAGCGATTTCGTACAGTATCGATTCGCGGATTTTCTGGTATGTTCAAAACATCTTATAGCCAAAATGCTCGTTCATTTATTACAAATACTGTAACTAAATGTTCCCTGGAACTTCCGCAAATTACGTAAAAATTAAAAACACATTCTTACCTTCATCAGCAATGCTAGGCTGTAATACAAAATAAATTAAATTCTATGTTAATAAATGCAACATCATTTTATTACAACTATAATAATATATTCATTACCAATTCAAGGAGTTTATATCAACAATAATATAAAATGTTTTTAATCCGTGGTTACATAAAATTTAAATAAGAATTCAAACAACAATCGCAAATTTATTTAATTTATGGTATATTATAAAGATATCTTTCTGGTAGTGGAAATAGCAGTACATATATATGGCATGATTACATAACCAACAATCGACTACTCTAGAAACACGCCACGGAAAAGTTAAAAAAAAGTGTTTATTTGAAAAAATTTCAGGGTAAATTGAAGCATACCCTCAAAAAACTATAGTTAAATGGAAATATCCATCATTTTTTTAAACGTACTATTCGGATATAATCAGTCTAAAACATACGGAGCTGTATCTGAGGACATACATTTAAAAACATTCGAAGAAAAGCGTTATCATATTGCTAGTTAGAGTTTGTTAATAAATAAATAGTCTTATAATTTTAATATGTGGAAGGCCGAAAACAATGAATTGCCGTATCTTCTGTTTCTGATATGTTAGTCATTAACTGAAGGGAACTATGCCAACATAATGTAACAATAATTTGAAAAATGATATGCATATATGAAATTATAGCTACTTTAAAATCGTGACTGCTTTTTTAAGCCTCTATAATATATATCATCTGATGTGACGTAAAATATTTCTAATGTAATCAGATTATCAAATTAAGAATGCACTACAAACAAAACAAAATTCATAAGTTTGATATATAAATCGTGGCGCACGAAGTTTATAACGAGAAGCACTGTCATTTAGTGATATCAGGTTATAAAATTAAGAGTGTCTAACATATCTTCATAACAAAATTCAAAGGTCTGCTAAAAACAGATATCAAAATGTTGATATATTAATCGTGGTGCACGAGGTTGATAACACAATTGGCGACGGGAGTGAATGCAGCTGTTAATATCGACACCGATTGTGGTGGGGCACTATTTGTTTTAATCATATTTGTTAGTTTAAGAATACTTAATTTGCATTTTTTATTAACAAATTTCAACAAAAAGTCTTAAGCGAGGCGAAAATAAGATTGTAGTTTATTCAAATATTGGCAACTGACTGACAAAAGGTACACTGAACGTCTTAATCGGATGCAATGTTTTCTCTTTCATTAGACTTTGGTACAACCCAATAAACATTTGCAGTGCCAGCCACATGGAATTTGAACACGCACCCTTAGTAACATGCCACAGACTTGGCAGGAAACCATGTTTATCAGCAAGCCTGCGATCATAAATGCCCACCAATAAATCATAACAATTAGCCAATAAAATTAATGTAGTAAAAATACTGTAGTCAACTTAAAACAAACAAGCAATTAAGCATTTTCCATACCTTGCTGACAACTGCCAGTGCCAGAAAAACAAATATGCAATGGAGACTACTCATCGTGACTGCCTCGATTCGCGATCGTTGTCAATTGCATAGAACTTGTCTAATATATATACTTATCGGTGTAGTGTTGTATCACACATATCGGTGTACAAGAATAAACGTGTAATACAAAGAAGTCCAAATTTATTGATCCGGTCACGCAACAAACAAATTGCTGGTATCGTCTGACACGAAAATAAAAACGGACCAGAATAAATTATTTCCTGTAGATGACAGTAATCATACACAGTTGATCAGTTTATTTTATAAGGAGCGTGTAGTTTATATTATTTATATATTAATTATATTCGCTTGGTACATTGGAATCAGCAATCATGACAAATGTGCAGTATTTTACAATTTACAAATTCCAGACGTATCAATTAACGTTTTCGAATAAAATATGTGGTTTTGTTGAAAAGGTTTATTTAGCGTATAATGAAAAGCTTCCGAAAGTATGTATGCGTCCAGGTTTCATTGTAGTCGCAATGTCTAAGGGGCATCTCAGTGGTAATTTCTGAGCGGCATTTAAGTGCCAATTTCTAGACGGCATCTCAGTGTTAATTCATCTCGGTGGCATTTTCTAGAAAGTATCCCATTGGTAATTCCCAGGTGCACCTCAGTGGCAATTTCTAGACGGCATGTCAGTGGCAATTCCCAGGTGGCATCCCAGTGGTAATTCCCAGGTGTCATCTCAGTGACAATTTCTATACGGCATCTCAGTTGTTTCAGGGAGCCCCTGTAGCAATATCCGGGATTTAAAAAATGGGTTCTAACAAAATAATTGAAATTAGAAAGCGATGAAGTTCTTTTTCTGTACTTTGAAAAATGGAAAATATACATTTTCTGCATTGTTTTTAATTCGAAAACTATAGTGAAAGTGCTTTGCATATTGCGTGACATGCAACAGTGTACCAAGGTATCTCATACAACTAAAGGCCATATTTATAACATTGACAACAACACATGTACAATCTTGCGAAATCATGAAGAACTTATCGTGGTTCCGGCCGAGAATTTAGTGGTGTGTTCAATAACGTGTCCGTTGTGTCAAGGCTAAAATAATATGCACAAGTTCCATTAAATATTTTCTAAATAGTTAAGAGATCGAGGCCGAGGATTGAAATATATTAATTTGGGCAGCAATTACAATGCTACAATTAATGTTGTTTAATAACATTCACTGGTAAATCCATATAATTTGTTTTTATAAACAAAGCCTATTGTAACGTCAGAATAATTAATTGCGGTTATAATATACCATTCATGGGGTTTCTATGCGTGTTCAGAAAAAGTGTCTGCATTCATGTCGCGTGTGATAAACAAAAAGAAGTGTGTTACAAATTTATGTGTTAAGGAAAAGAACTGGTACCGGAAAAACAGTGTTGGTCTTTTGAAAAACGGTACCACGTGCAGAAAACATACAACAGGCGATGATATGAAACCAATACCGATTTAATATAATTTTAATGACAGAAATGTTTGTTAATAACTTTGTGCGCTACGATTAGGATACCAAACTTCTGAATTGTGTTATGAAGCTGTGTTAGGCATTCTTAATTTGATAATTTGATTACATTAGGAATAATTTACGCCACATCTTCAGTCAAATACACAACACACAAACAATTTCCCAAAATTGTTTTCTTTTTCTGACACGCAGACAATTGTGTGAACACATAATTCTTTATTTTGTGAGTCTTCAAGAAAGCGTCTTGCAAGAGAAGGTTTATGCTTGCACTTGCGAAAACGAAAATAATAGAAGAGCTTTCGAGACATGTAGTAACATGGTCGTACAGTTGCAGGTACTGACTATTTTACGAACGTACACATACATACACGCATACACTTACGTACATGCATATACATTTGAGTTATTGTTAATTGTTTACAAACAATTAAGTAGAAAGAAAATTTAATGTCAGTGAATAAAATGTCAGCAATGCCATGACGTCACACAGTCGGGTCAACTACGATCAGCAAACTTATGTGCACCACAACTGTGGGTATTGGATTCCACCCCTCCCCCGTCCTCCCCCATTTAAAGCTTCTTCACCAATAAATAAATATTTGTGCACTGGGGTCAGGAAACTCATTGTGAGGGCGTTAATCTGTGTTTTAAATCATTAGTCTACGCGCATGCGCACTTCATTCGTTTTCGCCATATTTGTTTACCTAATTGTAATATTTGTAATCAGATTGTTATCTTTGCCATCCAGCCAGTCATGTTGAATTTGTATCTGATAAGATTTTATTCTTTCGTATGTTAGGTACATTTGACTGGTGTTTTAACTTTTGTATTGTTTTGTTTTGTATTTTTGTATTTCGCGTGTTGTGCAGACGACTGCATTTATGATCACAAACTTCGTTGTTCAGTATTTTGTGCTTTATTGCTTAAAAAATAGTCGATTGCTTCCTGTCATAGCGATTCTGTGATATTTTCGTGACATTTTGCAAATTGTGAAGACTTATTCTACTTATTTCATTCTATGCACTGTTTATCTGTAAAAAATATACTTATCTGCACTTAAGTTTTCAATTCACTGAGATTCTTACTCTACTGCTTTATTACTAAACAGGTGTTAAGATCTGATATTTTGAGGCTAGAAATCGTCAATTGTGAGGATAGAAATCGTCTTTGTTGTGTCCTGATATTATACATTTATAGTACATGGGCCTGTTTAATTTTCACTGAATTATTATGTAATACAAACATTCTTTGCAACTGTTTCTTCATACTGTAGTGTATATGAACACCTTGTTTATGCATAATTTCCGTGTTTTATCTCTCTGATATGATATTGATTTTGTATATTTTGACAATAGTAATGTGCAGTTTGGGTTGCTTGCATGTATTTGACCTTTAACAATGTTTCAGTTATTCATAGTAATGTATTTTGTATCCCACTTGTAATGTCATCATTTACATGCCAACTGGTATTATTTAATTTTAACAGTGTTTCCTATACTTTCTGTAGTGGATCTTTGTCATACACACAGAATTAGGAAATAATAAAAATCGGATACGTGTATCTTGATTGAACTCTATACCATTGTCATGTGTCATATATCCCAGCGTTACATCATGATGCGAGATGTACAATTGTAGGAACATATATAAATCAATGTATTGTCTCGATGAATTAGATCATGTCCATATAAACCATGTTTAAGTGTCCAGGGTTCACAACGCCCGGGGAATTGGTACTGTTGCTCTGTTGGTTCAAAGAACTGGCATTTCCTCACATGTCAACTTAAACTATGCTCAGCCATGTCAGTGCGTTGTTGGTGCACGATCTTCATTAGCCACAGATCGCAATGTCAGCTTTGATTCATACACAAATCCTCCGCTGCCTAGTTTTATACGGTTCTAGATTCGATGTGTAACGCAGCGTATATCACTAAAATCACGCTTGTTTTCAACCATGGGCTGCATATTTTGGTAATTGCACGGTGTATCGCAGTCACCATACCACAATGCACTAAGTAACTTGTATTTTTGCAAACTCTAACTTAGAAATTTGTTTAAATCATGGGCTGGCAAATTCGACTCATGAAAAATTCAATGAAACATAATTATTTGCATAAGATAGATGATCATTATAAAAACTGTTTTTTGATTAACTGTTCATGATGACAGGGCAGAGCTGTTCATATACGTCATCCGTCCACCAACAATTACACTAACAACAATTTCATTTTCTTGAAAACCAATAATATGAGTGCTTTTTAGTTTTGTGCCAATATTTCCAATTTTGAACTTTTTTTGTAATTTTGTAATTTTTTGTCAAAACTGATATTTTTCCCAACTCGCTTCATAGATTGTTTTGGAATTTAATTACAAATACCTTCTCATTATTTTTCTCATTTCATGACCGTATCTTTAATTTCTGATTTCGCGTGTCGGAAAACATTTATGCTATGTTGAATTACGGCGGTCAATTACGTTCAAAAATGAATATATTTTGCTAATTTAGTTGAAGTACTTCATTGTATTAATTTATCAATCACTTGGCACACAGTCACTGGATTACTACACAAATCATGGACGTTATGGGACAATCAAATCTCCGAGACAGTAAAAAAAAAGTCAAACTCAATACACCCCGAAAGTAAAGTTGTAGGCCTAAACAATGATGTTGAGAATTTAAATGTAAATTTACATGAAAATTACTAAAAATAAATAATATACTGAAGTCAAATTATTATTTATCGAAAAAAGGGAAGTAGCATTGATGTTTCATGTACATCCAAGAGCACAACAACATTTCAACAAAACAATGATTTTCATTAATTTATATCACCCCAGAATTTAATAACGATATATAACAAAATGGTCATTCGATGAAATGGACATTCGAAAAAATTTAGTGTATCCTCATCAAAGAAGGTGTTTGGATGTATGAAGTTTCGGTCATCATTTTCTGTCCCAGAATTGTTGACCTCGTGTTTTAAAGAAGGCGTGCATTTCAACCATATGCATGTTTTAGAACATACTGATTAAGGTCGTACGACAAATATTAGTTCAGCGTAATTATTCGTTACTAGCATCACTGCCATCGCTTGTTTTTACTACTTTATACTTCGCCGCTTTGCGCTGGACTGAAAAAGCGGAATTGTCATCAGAACTGCGCATGCACATTTGGAGAACAATGAGTGTTGATATAATGATAGTTATTTTTAGAAATCCGACAGAAGCCAGTTGCGCATTTATAAACAAGCAAGTAATTTCAAATTTATTATCAAAATTACGTGTCGTTCTAGATCGAAGTTATCGTAGTCAAGTGTTAGTTACTGTAAGGAATGCTTCAAGTGTATTGCGTTTGAATGAACTGCATGCGATGTAGTAAATTAACAGGAGTAGAATATTGAAATGTGCACATGCGCAGATCGGGCAACAATATTGTTCTAAATATCCCTAAACATGGCTACATAAACTTGTTCTACCAGTAATTTAAATGAACGTTTTAGAATCGACTTTGTTCGAATAATAATATAAATAAATACTAACAAGAAAAGAATGTCGTTG